ACGCCATGGCACTCACTTTAGCCACGGCAACAGAGTGAGACTCTGTCTCAAAAAAAAAAAAAAAGTTATCTAGGGCCAGATCTTAGAGGTCTTTGAACATGAAGCTAAAATTATTCACTTTTTTGGTAGATACGAGGGTAACTCATATCATGCCTTAGTTATTTCCCATCTTTCTGTCAAAACAATTCATCCAAAATATTTTCGTCATATCCTCCCTCCTCTAATTATGTAACTGTATCAAGTCTAAATTTTTTGCCCTTTTTCTTCTTTTTGCCAGCCACGTCGTGCTCATGCCCTAACTTTCAAAGTCCTGCATTCTCAACAGCCAAAATATAATATCTCAGAAGGTTACACTACAGATTATTTAATAATTTTTCTGCATTGGCCAAATGTTTTATATATTGATATTCAGCTCCTAAAACACATACTGTACTAAAGAGCTACCAAGAATACAAGTACCTTATACCTGAAGAACCTGGCACATAAACAAAAAATTCAAAAAGACCAATGACATACAATGCGATGAGGATAAGCTCTCCGAACAGCTGTGGAGTGACTTTCAGATACATTATAAAGGGAAAAGCAAATTGGAAAAGACAATATTCAGTAGTTACCCTTGGGTAAGAATGAAAACTAAAAATATATATGCGCGCTTGTATAAAAATATATGCATGATTGTATACAGGTATGCATATATGTATATATATCTGATTTTTCCAAAATAAAACGTAGGAAAGATAAGCCAGAAAGTAGTAAAATGAAGGTGGGGGTGAACAGAGTAGGAGGGTAAAAAAAGGAATAGGGCTTCTCTGAATACATTTGTTTTAAATAGTTTTGAGTCTTTATTAGTGTTAATGTTTCACATGTTTAAAAAATTAAATCAAAGATGGGAAAAGTCCTAAAATTAAACACAAACAGAAATAAAAAAACCAAACTATGTATCACTAATAATATAACCATAAGAAAAAAAATTAAAGTAACTTTACTCAGTGGAATATATTCTAAAGGCACAATGAACTGCAAATAAATTTTGAACTTTACTTGGTGAGTTTACTGCTGGTAGTGTACTGACAGTAATTGTGAAACTATTTTACGTGTATCTGGATTACTCCTGGGAACCAGAGTTCTTCTTGAAGGAGAATAGAGAAATAATTATGGAATATGAAAAATGGGGGAATAAGCCCGTGGTATAGATTAGAAGTACCAGTATGAATTCAAGAGTTTTAAAATGTATATATTTCTTAGCTCTTCCTCTGAGGAACTAGAAGCAATGTCATGATAGTAGCAGGGCTCATAAGGAAACACCTGATTCCAGGGCTCAACATCACTAATCATTATGGAAATGTAAATTAAAACCACAATAAAGGGACAACATAGATGAATCTAGAGGACATTATGCTAAGTGAAATAAGTCAGGCACAGAAAGACAAATACTGTATGATCTCACTTATATGTGGAATCTAAAAAAGTTGAATTCATAGAAATAGTAGAATGATGGTTACCAGAAGTGGGGGTGGGGGTGGGGTAGGGATGGGGAGACAAGGGAAGGAGTTGTTGTTGATCACAGTTTTAGCTATACAGGAATCTTTTGAGATCTATTACACAACAGGGCAACTATAGTCAATAATAACATACTGGCTGGGCGCGGTGGCTCATGCCTGTAATCCTAGCACTCTGGGAGGCCGA